GAGGACGAGGCGGCGCCCGTCTGCATCGGCTCCTGCCTGGTGGACATCTCCTACAGCGAGACCAAGAGGAGGCACGTGTTCCGGCTGACCACCGCTGACTTCTGTGAATATCTCTTTCAGGCTGAGGACCGGGATGACATGCTGGGCTGGATCAGAGCGATCCGAGAGAACAGCAGGGCCGAGGGCGAGGTGAGGGCCCGGCCGCCCCCCGGCGCTCTGGGGCGGGAAGGCCGGCCTGTCCTCTCACACCCTCCTCCTCCCCCGTATCTCCTCCCTCCTTGTGTCTCCCTGCAGAAAGCGGGCGGCGGCGCACGTGTTCCGGCTGACCACCGCTGACTTCTGTGAATATCTCTTTCAGGCTGAGGACCGGGATGACATGCTGGGCTGGATCAGAGCGATCCGAGAGAACAGCAGGGCCGAGGGCGAGGTGAGGGCCCGGCCCAGCCCCCACGGGGCCAGGGAGGCCAGCTCCGGCCCCAGGGCTACCGCTCACCTGCCAGGGACCTCCCTTCATCACGCTGAGCCTCGGTTCCCCCTGCCAGTTAGATGGGCTGACAGCTGTGCCCGCCTGGGGTTCGGTGTGACGAGGACACGCACGGTGGCTCGCAGAGCACCTGCGTCTCCAGGCGGCCGTGGCGGGCAGTGACGACAGCTCTAGGAACGATCGTCATGATTAGCACTATTAATTATTGTTATGAGCGCAGGCTCTGGCACAGAGAGGTCAGCCCCAGGCCAGCCTCAGCTCCCTGCTGCAGGTCAGTGGGGTGTGTGCGTTTCCTACGGAATGTGGTACAGAATGAGGTGTCCTTGTGCCAGGACCAGGGCTGGCCCTTCTGACAGGACTGGCCTGTCTGCAGGGACATGAACACATTGACCTTGGGAGGAGGCCAGGAGGCTGGGCCTTTGGCAGCGGGCAGCAGGCCCTGAGCCAAGGCTTTGGCAGGGACTCTGGAGAATTGGAAAAAATGGCGCCCCTTCCTGGGCAGCTGCACACCAGGGGCCCGGGCTGGTGTTTCCGCTCCACTTGGCCCCTCCTTGGCCAAGTGCCCGCACACAAGTAACTGGACGCACCTGCACAAGATTGCGTGGGGCCTGGGCATGGGGCTCTGCCTGGCCGTGAGTGCCCAGCCCCTGGGCCACAGACCCTCTTGTTGGGGACATAGCCTCCCACTGACCCAGGCTCTGCCCGCCCCACCCGCAGCCCCAGCCCCCAGGACATGGTCTCTCTCCTCCCGGCAAGGAGGACCGTGCCTGGGATCTGGGCCCTGCTCTGGGAGGCGTGGCTGGGCTGTCCCCAGCAAGGCATGGTCAAGGGTCCCAAGCCACTCTCCTGACCACGATAGCTGCCCTCCGGGGGCACCTCTCCTGGGCCTTGGCAGGACGGTGAGGAGTGCCGTGTGCGCAATTCTGCACCCAAACCCTGAGGTGGCGATAGTACCCCTCCCATGTCACTGCCGAGGGGACTGAGGCTCAGAGAAGCTAAGTGGATGACCCAGGGTCACACAGCCCTAGTCTTGCTCGCTCCAGGGTCTGTGCCTTCCAGCTGGCAGATGGAGGAGAGGGGAGGCGAGGCTGAGGCAGGAGCCGGGGATGAGTTCTGGGGCGGGCTGTGCGGGCACTGACCGCATCTGCACTCTCTTCCCCTCCTCCAGGACCCCGGCTGTGCCAACCAAGCTCTGATCAGCAAGAAGCTTAATGATTACCGAAAAGTGAGGTGAGCCCAGCCCTCGTGGAGCAGGCCTGGCTACGGGGGGCGGGGAGGGAGGCACTCCAGGCCTAGGTCAGCCTCCTGGCTCACCTCCAAGGAGGGAAGCCCCTGGGGACAGGGAGGGTGGCAGGGAACTTGGGGCCTCCAGTCCCCAGAAGGGCAAGGAGGGTTTGCCTCCGGGAGAGAGGGGAGGTCCATCGTGGTGGGAGGGGGATGAGTTCTGGGGCGGGCTGTGCGGGCACTGACCGCATCTGCACTCTCTTCCCCTCCTCCAGGACCCCGGCTGTGCCAACCAAGCTCTGATCAGCAAGAAGCTTAATGATTACCGAAAAGTGAGGTGAGCCCAGCCCCCGTGGAGCAGGCCTGGCTACGAGGGGGGGTGGGGGGGAGGCACTCCAGGCCTAGGTCATCCTCCTGGCTCACCTCTAAGGAGGGAAGCCCCTGGGGACAGGGAGGGGGGCAGGGAACTTGGGGCCTCCAGTCCCCAGAAGGGCAAGGAGAGAGGGGAGGTCCATCGTGGTGGGAGGCCAGGGAAGGTGACATGCTGGTCGCCCGGATGAAGACCCCCTCCTTTCCCCCTCTTCCTGTGCAGCCATAGCTCTGGGCCCAAAGCTGATTCCTCCCCAAAAGGCTCTCGGGGCCTGGGGGGCCTCAAGTCTGAGTTCCTCAAGCAGAGTGCAGCGCGTGGAGTCAGGACTCAGGACCAGCCTGCAGGGAGCAAGGGTAGGAGGCGGCTGCTAAGGGGGTGACATGCATGCGGCTGGGAGTGAGGTCAGCTCTGTGGGTCTGCAAGGGAGCAGAGGGCCTGTGAGTGTGTGTGTGAGTGTGTGTGAGTGTGAGTGTGTGTGTGTGTGAGTGTGTGTGAGTGTATGTGTGTGTGTGTATGTGTGTGTGTGAGTGTGTGTGTGTGTGAGTGTATGTGTGAGTGTGTGTGAGTGTGTGTGTGTGTGTGTGTGAGTATGTGTGTGAGTGTGAGTGAGTGTGTGTGTGTGACCGTGTGTGTGAGTGTGTGTGAGTGACTGAGTGTGTGTGTGAGTGTGTGTGTATGTGTGTGTGTGTATGTGTGTGTGAGTGACTGAGTGTGTGTGTGTGTATGTGTGTGTGAGTGTGTGTGTGTATGTGTGTGTATGTGTGTGTGTGAGTGTGTGTGTATGTGTGTGTGTGTGTATGTGTGTGTGAGTGTGTGCCAGGGTTATCCCTCTGTGTCTGCCCATATGTGGATGCCTGTGAGGGTCTGGGGTTCTCAGAGTCTGAGGGCTGGAAGGGCCTGGAGCCTGATTTCCCTCCAAGACATCCCTGCTGGACAGTCACCCAGTCTCTGCTGTGTCCCTTCAGGGGCAGGAGGCTCGTCCTCTCGGGATGTAGCCTTTTCCATCATCACACACTCGTTTGGCTGGTAGGAAGCCCTTCCTTTGGGTATAATAGCATCAATGGCTCTGCCTCGTTGTGTTAGCCCCGGAGGCCACACAAAGGTCCTGACCTAATGCTGAGGCCTCTCCCTCCGGGTTAGAGCCCTCTTTCCTTTGGCCTTCACACTTGGTATATAGTCCCCATCAGCCCTCAGCATCCCGGTGGCTTCTCTGAGAGTCCCCACATGTGCAGACACGTGTGAATGCGGTGGGCGAGTGTGGCCGCTCCCCCTCCCTGGGCCCAGCTCATCCTAGGGCTCTCTGCCTCCCCCTCCAGATGACAGTGTTGCTGCCCCCAAAAGCCCCTGGGGCATTAACATCATCAAGAAGAATAAGAAGGCAGCCCCCAGGGCATTCGGGATCCGGCTGGAAGAGTGCCAGCCAGCCACGGAGAACCAGGTGGGGCCCCACCACGGTGCAGGGGAGGGGGAGACAGAGCCGAAAGGGACTTGGCGGCAGCTGTGCACCTTGTCTCACAGACACAGCTGGGGAAGGGCAGAGAGGGAGCAGCAGAGCTGAGGCAGAGCCCGAACCCCTGACCCCTGGCCAGTGCCCCTCCTCAGACCAGGGCGAGGCGTGGGGGTTATTTCTAGCCCCAGACTGGAGGCGGCGAGGGCCTTTGTCCCCATAGAGCAGTGGTTCTCAACCTTCCTAATGCCGCGACCCTTTAATACAGTTCCTCATGTTGTGGTGACCCCCAATTTCATTGTTACAAATTGAACATTATTAAAGCATAGTGATTAATCACAAAACAATATGTAATTATATATGTGTTTTCCGATGGTCTTAGGCAACCCCTGTGAAAGGGTCGTTCGACCCCCAAAGGGGTCGCGACCCACAGGTTGAGAACCGCTGCCATAGAGGGTTCCTGGCAGCAGCTGGGCCTTGCACCACCCCCATCTTGGTCTCCCCACCTCCTCTGGTCCACTGGTGGAGAATGCTGCCCTCACCCTCCCTAACACCCCTGCCCTGCCCGTGTCCCCAGCATGTCCCCCTGATCGTGGCTGCATGCTGTCGCATCGTGGAGGCACGAGGGCTGGAGTCCACGGGCATTTACCGAGTGCCCGGCAACAACGCAGTGGTGTCCAGCCTGCAGGAGCAGCTCAACCGCGGGCCCAGTGACATCAACCTGCAAGATGAGGTGGGCGTGGCCCGGGGGAGCTGTGGGAGGGGGGCCGAGGTGGTGTGTGTGTATCTGTTGTGCTTATCGTACCCTGCAATGTGCCTGGCACTGGGCCAGGGCACCAAGATGGGTAGGACAGGACTTGCCCTTGCTGTCCAGCCCCGGGGATGGCATCGCCCCAACTGAAGTTGAACAGATAGATGCCATCAGGGCCTAGGAAGCCCTGAGACAGAGGCCAGCTGGCAGCAGGGTTTGGGGCCTTAAGGATGAGTAGAGTTCACTAAAAGCAAGAGAAAGCCAACCAGGTAAGGGCATTCCAGGCAGAGGGATGGCCTCAGCAAAGGCATAAACTCTAAAGGCTTGTCATCAGTCTACATACCTTTTCTGTAAAGGGCCAGGCATAAGTATTTTAGGATTTAGTTACTATACAGTCTCCGTTGCATACCTTTCTTCTCTTCCTCCTCCTTTTTTTTATTTTGTTCTCTCTTCCTCCCCCACTCCCAATGATCCTTTAAAAATGTAAAATCCATTCTTAAAATACGAAAAAACAAAAATAGAAAAGAAAAATAAATAAAATTCATTCTTATCTTAAGGGCCATGCGGGAACTGGCCGCTGGGTGGATTTGACATATGGGCCATGGTTTGCAGACGCCTGGCTTAGAAGAAAGGAAGAATATGGTGTTTTCTGAAGTGGCCAGTAATTTGGGGGCTGCAAGAAGGGAAAGGACGCGGCTGATCACAGGGAAAGGGGAGCTCCTGAATCTGACAGCCACACTTGAGAGTTTGCAGCAGGGCAGTGGTTCTCAGACTGTGTTTTCCAGAATCTGACGTTTCTCTAGAGGGGCTGTGGGAGGCCAGGGCCGGGTCAGGACCCCCAATCCTCACTTGAACTAGAGCAGCCCCGCCTTATGGGGTTTCCATGTACAATTGGGTTTTCACGTGTGATTTTATTTAACAAAAGGGGCTCTGGCTGAAAATGAGGTTTTGGGAAACCACGGATCTGGGCACTGAAGTCTCATGAGTCACATACCATGAAACCTCATGTGATCCAGGGCCGTCTTCCTGTCCTGGGGAAGGGAAGGCGGAGACAAGACAAGTGTGTGTGAAATCGTGGGCAAGAGAGAAGGCTGGTCTCGCATCAAGGACCAGATTGTGCGACGAGGAAGGAGGATGCTGAGTGCTGGAGCAGATGGCAGGCTGGAGTGTTTGAATCTTTGAAGGAGGAGTGGGAAGGGGGGCAGGCGGGCAGGAAGGCAGCCCAGGCGGGGCATGATGGCATTTTCTGAAGTCCCAGAGAAGGGTCCAAGCCTGGGGGCAGAGAATAGACCTCACTCCCGGGCGTGGCCGTGGGGAGGGCGAGACAGAGGGCTTTCTTTTTTCTTTTTTTTTTTTTAATATCTTTTATTGATTTTTTACAGAGAGAAAGGGAGAGAGATAGAGAGTTAGAAACATCGATGAGAGAGAAACATCGATCAGCTGCCTCTTGCACACCTCCTATTGGGGATGTGCCCGCAACCAAGGTACATGCCCTTGACCGGAATCGAACCTGGGACCTTTCAGTCTGCAGGCCAATGCTCTATTCACTGAGCCAAACTTACAGAGGGCTTTCGATGGCTTCACTGAAGCCTTTGACCTTGATCCAGTGCATAATAGGAAGCCTTCGATGGGGAGGCATAGATGAGAGTGGGGTTTGAGGAAGAGAAGAGCTTTCGTTTGTACCTAATCCTAATGCATATGAGTGAGGAAGGCCCAGAGCAGGGCGCCTAGGAAAGAAATTGCTGATATATTGGAAGTGGACTCAGTGGTCTTCGGAGAATAAGGAGGATGGATGGGAGCCGCTCTGAGAGTTGGCTGCATATGAGGGAGGAAGGAGGGGCAAGAAGAGCCAACAGTTTGAGCTGGGGCTGGGAGTATCTACCCCTGGCAGAAATTGGGAAATAGGACAGAAGAGGGAGGCTGTGGCAGGGAGCGGCCCCATTGGATTTGGGGTGATGATGTGTCACCCACCTGGGGTGATGGCATCATCAGATACGAGACCAAGAGTGGACTGGTGAGTGGGCAGGGGGTCATGCTGGGGCTTGCAGGGGAGATGATGGAGAGAGCTGCTATGTGGGGAGAGGGTGGGTATCAGGAGTCCAAGGACCAGGCCCTGAAGTGGGCCAGTGGAGAGGGGAGTGCAGGGGTAGGTACTTGCACAGAGGAAGGGTCACGAAACAGGCAAGGCCTTGGGTTTGGCAGCTGAGCAATGAGAAGAGCTTGCGCATCAGGGCCAGGGGGTAGTGGAGGGAGGTGGGCAGGTGCTGACCGGGTAGGGGTGAGTATACACTGAAGCACATTGGCTGGGCCACAGCCTGGAGAAGAGGGCCCAGCGGTGGGGGCGTGGCCAGCTATTGGGTGTGTGGTTGGGCCTTGGGTGTCAGTGGTGTTGTTCGTCCGTGGGGTGGTGCAGTGCTGGAAGTCAAGCTTTGTGTGTGGGTGACTCTGACTCCTGTTGACGCTGTGGGGAGGGGAGGACATGTGGGATGGTCGGGCGTTAAGCTATGGATCCACTGCTACGAGTTTGTATTTTGTGGAGCCGTGTGTCTCTGAATGTGCCTATTGTTGAGGTGTATGTCTGTTGTGTGTCTGTGTTGTTTTCTGGGCAAGAGTTTCTCTGAGCAGTTCCCATCAAGGGTGTTATCCTAGACTTTGTGCAGGGTGATGGTGCCCCCTGGTGGAAAGAAGGGACAATGACCCAGCTGTTCATTCTTGTCTTCAACAACCTTTGATTTAGATCAGGGTTTTCTCAACCGTGAAACTTGGGACAGAATAATTCTTTGTTGCAAGAGGTTGTCCTGTGCTTTGGAGGGGGTTTAGCAGCATCCCCGGCCTCCAGCCACTAGATGCCAAGGGCACCCTCACCCCCAGTCCCCACCCCCTACCCCCAGCCTGAAAAAGAAAATGGTTCCAGACGTTGCCAAATGTCCCTGAGGGGCAGAGTCACCCTGGTTGAGAGCTACTAACTTAGACCAGGGGTGGGCAAACTTTTTGACTCGAGGGCCACAATGGGTTCTTAAACTGGACCGGAGGGCCGGAACAAAAGCATGGATGGAGTGTTTGTGTGAACTAATATAAATTCAAAGTAAACATTTTTTTAGTTTTATTCATTTCAAACGGGCCGGATCCAGCCCTCGGGCCATAGTTTGCCCACGGCTGACTTAGACCTTTTAAGTGCCAGGCGAGCAGAGCTGCTGGGTGATAGGAACACAGTGGGGAATAGGACAGATACGATCCCTGCCCCAGGTAGACAGGCAGGACAAGGAAACAAATGCACACAATAACGACACATGGTGGCGCGTGCCATGGAAGAAACAGGGCTGTGGCACAGATGGCGGGGCAGTGGCGATGGTGGCCGCTTCAGCTGTAACAGTCGGAACAGGCCTCTCTGAAGAGGTGTTAGGAGCTTGTCATCTGCGGGTTGGGGGAGGAGAGCTCTAGGAGGGGACCTGCAAGTGCGAAGGGCCCGAGGCAGGAAGGCGCCGAGCGTGAGCGTGAGCGTGTGCTATGTCAGGGACAAGGAGAGAGGTGTCCAAGGATGGCTCTCCCCTGCTAAACGGGGAAGCAGGAGTTGGCACTAGGTAGGCACAATGGAGGTCCAATGGGCAGGCTTGCCCGGGGATGGGTTTCCTTCCCTGTCCCTCGCAGTGCCTGTACCAAAGGAGGCACCTGGTACTTTCTGTGGGTGGGCAAATGTTGGCGCTCATTGGACTGGCTGGAGCGGAGAGGGACTGGGGCCGGGTGGTCAGGGGGCTAGCCGGGGACTCTGTTCGGCTGCCCCCATGAGTGGCCTTCGCCCAGAGATCCCTGGTCAGGGCAGAGCTTGGTTGTAAGTGGATCCCAGGGAGGGCCTGGGCTGGGCTGGGCTGGGCTCTAGGGCTGGACTAGCATGGAGGCAGGGCACCCGGGTGGGGCCTACCTGTGGCCTGACTTCTTTGCCCCCTCTGCAGCGCTGGCAAGACCTCAACGTGATCAGCAGCCTGCTCAAGTCCTTCTTCCGAAAGCTACCTGAGCCTCTTTTCACTGATGGTGAGTAGGGGGTGGGGGTGGAGAAATGGGAGGAGGAGGGACACCCTGACCACTTTTTAAATTGGGTTTGTTGGTGTTCTTTTGGGTTTTTTGTTTTAATACAAAAGAAACATGCACTTGTGAAAAACAGGTAGTACAGATACAAACAAACGCCAAGGTCCCTGTCCTTCTCCTACTCCCGTCTCCTGAGGTTATGCTATTTCCTTTGTGCCATGCACTGCTCCCTACAACGACTCCCTGAGGCAGGCACTACTATCTCCACCTCACAGATGAGGAAACTGAGGCACACAGAGGTTAACTGACTTGCCCAAGGCCTCACAGGTTGTAGGGGTTGGAGCCAGGATTAGGCCCCAGGCATCTGGCTTCAGGGCCCAGCTTTGAGCATCTGCTGAGCTGCTGATGAACAATGTTGTGTTTCCTTCCAGACCCTCTGGCACACAACAAAGACACATAGGTATTCAGTGGTGTGCTGATAAATGTTTAACCTCTGGCTCCCTGGGGTGGGGTGGGGTGGAGGGAAGCCTTGGTCTGTAGCGTTTTTTTTCCAATTTCCATGGTATAAATACTCCCACCAGAGCTGATTTCAAGCCACCGATAGATACCCTGTCAGCGATGTGGAGCAGGAGGTGAACTCGGTGGGGAGGTGAAGGCTCTCTGGAGCCATGGGGGCGGGGCCCAGCACACCACTGGTTGGGTTGTTCTTAACAAAAGGAGGCTTGTAATTTTGAGATTCATTCATGTCAGCACAAAGAGCTCTTCCTCGTTCTTCTTTTAAATCAACGGCATCGTATTTCAGAGTCTGAATAGACTATAACTCGTCTAGTCACTCCCCTACCGATGGATATTTCGGTTGCCTTCAAATTTTTGCGCAGAACATGTTGCAATGACTTTCCTGGCGTATGTCCCCGCATGCCTGGATCCATGTCCTCGGGGCAGATTTCTTGATGCGGAATTGCTAGGTCCACATCCCCGGTAAACATTTTTTTTAAAGATATATTTTTATTTTTTAATTAGAGTTGACACACAATATTATGTTACTTTCAGGTGTACATCCTAGTGATTAGACATTTGTAAACCTTATGAAGTGATCCCCCTGATAAGTCTAGTACCCATCTGACACCTTACGTAGTTATTACGATATTATTGACTGTGTTCCCTGTGCTATAATTTACGCCCCTGTGACTGTTTTTATAACTGGCAATTTGCACATCTTAATCCCTTCCCTGGTAAACATTTTTGAAGGCTAACGTCAGGTGGCACTCTGAGAAGTGGGCCCTAGCGCACACCCCACTGAACATTATGCCCCCTCCCTCCCAGCATTGGATGTTATTACTATTTTAAACTTTTGCTTATCGGGTAGGGGAAATGGCATCTCATTATTGTTTTCATTTTCATTTCCCTCATTACTAAGGAGATTAACTGTCTTTTCATTAGTTTATTGGTCTTTTCTATTTCCTTCGTATTTGCCTGTTCAGACTACGTGCCCATTTTTCTATTGGATTGTCTGTCTTTTTTCATATTGATTTATAGGAGACAAGCTCTTGTACATTGTAGATATGAATCCTTTGTTAGTTTTTGCAAATATTGGGTCTGCCATTTGCCTTTGAACTTGCAGTAGAGAAACTGGAAACAGTTGTTTCAAGTGCAGGCAACGCTGTTAATCTTTCATGGATTCTGCATCTCATGTTTAAGAAGGCCTTATGACGGTGTAACTATTTTCTTATTTTTTTCCATATTTTAACAACTTTATATTTGGCTCTGTAATGCAGTTAAGTGTGGATTATGTGAGCTAGATCCAGACTCCCCCGCCCCCCCCATTGATATAGCTAATCGTCCCAGGGACATTTAGGACGCCTCCCTCCTTCCACACGATTTAAAGGGCCACCCTATCACACAGGAAAGATCCACGCGGCCTGTTTTCCTCCTTCCTGTGCCGACCCTTGTTCAGCTCCCCCTCCCAGTCCCGCGGCTCTAGCTGAGCTCGCTCTATCGTCTGCTTCAGTATCCGGTGGGGCAATTCCTTCCTCCTCATTCTGCCTTCGAAGAACGAGTAAAGGCTCTCCTCATGCCTTTACTCATCCAGATGAAGTTTAGAGTAAACTTAACGCGTTCCAT